CACTGGCTCCCGCAGCACTTCGGGGTGGCTTGAGACACAATTCTGGGGGGAGCTCCACAGGCTGCAGGACAGCCCTGCCCAGGAACTGCTGACTAAGGGAGCCAGGAGCGGGCAAGCTCAAGAGATGATCAGCACCCACGACACCCAGCCACCCCCTCCAGCTGCAGGAGCAGGATGCTACGCCTTTTCAGGGGGGTAGCACAAACAAATTCTCCCCAAGACAGGCCAGAGATGCAAAAGCTTTACCTGGTGCCATTCTGCTGGGCTGCTGGGATGACGCTGTAGTAGATGGGTACCCCTCCCCCTTGAAGCCCCCCCTGAACAGACTGGCTGGCTGGTACAAGCACTGGCTGCTGGAAGGACTGCTGGACCACATTCTGGGACTCGTTGGCCACAGGAACCTGTGCAGGGAGGAAAGAAGCAGCCCTGTGGAACGACAGGTAGCACAGAGCAGGAGCAGGGAGAACTGGCCCCAAAGAGCCACCAGCGAGTCCATACGAGGCAGAAGAGATGCTGTCACCCAGAGCAATCTTGCTCAGGCAAGGACATCCCTTCCCACAATAGCAAAAGGACCAGCCACAGTCGGTCCTCAAGACACATCCCACAAACAGCCAAACGTGGATGTGCCCTCCTCAAGCCGGCAAGCATGCGTTGTTTTCTCGGGGGCAATAAGTCTCCGTCTTTGGCTCCATCACTCAGGCACAGGCGCAGGGCACGTCCTCACCCCCTCCCCAGCAGCCCCTCGGTGGGGTGTACTGGATGCCTACCTGGTACGAAGGCAGTGGAGTGTACTGGACCATCAGGCTCTGCATCTGGTTGCCCATCCCGCTCCTCTGGCTGCTGAGAAGTCCAGGGGGCTGTGCCTGCTGCACTCCCATCACACTCTGCATCTGGCCCCCCACGCTGTTCCTCTGGCTGCTGAGGAGCCCAGGGGGCTGCGCCTGCTGCACTCCCATGACACCTTGGTATGTTTGCTGCTGGTTGGACATCATGGGCTGTAAACCTGTCGGAACAGGGTTTAAATGGAGCAGCTTCCCACCTGGCCCCAGGAGACAGCCTGAGACTTGACATATGAGAGCTCAAATCCCGCTTCGACCTCATCTCTTGCTGAACAGTGGGAAAGGGGCTTCCCTTAGGGCAGGTGTAAAAGGACCCGAAGGAAGCTTCTGGCTTTAGATCCACCTTGCAGCACCCCAGGGCGTGCTACATGCTGAGAGGGAGGGAAAAGGCTAAACCAGCCTTTGGCAGCCAGGCCAAGCTTCAACTTCTCTTTGCACAGTCAAGAGGCGCTCTGTGGTCAGCAAGTCCGGCAAAGAGG